AGAGAGAGAGAGAGAGAGAGAACCGAGAGTGGAAGAAAACCGAGTGAGAGAACCGAAAGACGAACAGAGAAGAGAAGAAGAGGAATTCAAGTTTTGTGTTGGAATTGAAGGAAGAACTCAAGAGATTCAACGAATTAAAGTTTTAGGTAAGAAAGTTTAAGCTTAATTCTGGTAGATTAATCATTTAGCAATTGAAATCAAGTGGTAATTGGGTTTAATTTCATGAATTAGAAAGAAATTAAGAAAAGAATGAGGAAGATTTGAGTTAAGTTTGATAATTAAGAAATTGATGTTGTGATTTAATATTTGAGTTTGATTTTTGTCATCCTTCACACATTTGAAAGTCATCCTTACATGCATCTTGGAATTTCAAGGTTTTAGACTTTAATTCATGTTTAAAAGACTTATGAGTTTGAATTTGGGTTTGATATGAAAAAAATTAATAAAAATATAAAATTAGTTAATTTTTATGTCAATTTCATACATGCAAATGATTTTCTATGGAGTTTACAACTTTAATTTCATATTTTGAAGGAAAATAGAAAAGAGTTTGAAATCAATTTCATGTGATTAGAAAGAAATTGACAAGAAAATGAAAAATTGGAGCTAAGCTCAAGTTTATGAAAATTAATTTAGAAATTAATTATTTTTTATTCGATTTTGAAAGTTATAGTTAAATTAAACTCCATAAATTACATGCAAATTTTTTGTGTATTTGATTTTGAAGAATATTTTTAGAAACCATGAGTTCATGGGTTTTGATTCAAATAAATTAATTAATAATTATGGTTCATAATTTTGAGTTTGGATTTTAAAGTGTTGATGTATGAAAGTTTTTGCATTGAATTTTATTTCAGATAATTCATGAGTTTCATGGTTAATGTCATGCTTATTTTTCAAGGGAAAAAAAGTTTGAAAATATTTGCATGCATGGAGTTTGGTTTAAGTTTTGACAACTTCATGAGATTTTGAGCAAATAATTTAGAAATAAATAAGTGTTTATGTTTTCTAAAATGTTTTCAAAGTTTTGATTAAGATATGTATGGGTTCAAGATTGAAAAATGCATTTGGAAACCATTTTTGAGAAATTCAAAATTCTGGAATTTTACAGACAGCTCGAACAATATAACGTTCGAGTGCACATTGAAGGCTTACAGTACTTTTGCAGTCTTTTGCAGACCGCTCGAGCGACTAAAGGTTCGCTCGAGCGAACAATTCTTTTTTAGGATATTTTGGAAAAATTATATTTAAGTTCATATTTCCATTTTCATCTTGTCCTACACATTCTTAGGAATGAATTATGACTCAATGAAGATTAATAAGTTAACAATCAACATAAATTAGTTGGTTAAGGAATAAGTCATTGATTTAATAATAATTGATTAAGAAGCCAAATGAGAAATCGGTCTATTTGGAAAATGATTTAATAATGAACGAATATATGAAATGAGAACTCGGTTCATTTGAATAAAGAAAGAATAAACGTAGCATAATTTCAAATTATTTAGATAGAAAAAGACAAGAGAAGTCAAATTTGATCGAGGAAGTGATATTGTGTTTCAATGTGTATATGTTATGTGTTTGTATAGGTCACGCGCTATCGTCTGCCTAATCTGTTTACTCTATCTAATTTGTCTAATTCGCTTCTGGTGCTATCTGTGAGTAATAACTCTGTAAAACTATGTTTGATTATAAGTATTTTTTGACTAAAATAATATGATCTGTTTTCTGAAATGTTATTTTATGACTCATGAATGAATGTCCATTTTTCTTAAATGTATTTGTGGCATCCTTAGTTCACGTGGCCCTCGACCGAGAGTAACAATACCATGGCTTATGTTTACGTGGTCCTTGTCCTGAGTAATAACTCTGTAAAACTATGTTTGATTATAAGTATTTTTTGACTAAAATAATATGATCTGTTTTCTGAAATGCTATTTTATGACTCATGAATGAATGTCCATTTTTCTTAAATGTATTTGTGGCATCCTTAGTTCACGTGGCCCTCGATCGAGAGTAACAATACCGTGGCTTATGTTTACGTGGTCCTTGTCCGGGGGTAATAATACCAAGGTCTATGTTCATGTGGCCTTCGCCAAGGGGTAACAGTACCATGGCTATTTGTGCACAAAGATGTTGACTTATATGGTCATCGGTACCGACTATGCATGTGGGTCTTTTCATCACTCTGATCTGTTAGCTAATGGATGTACCACATATAGTTGTTACAAATCTGAATATGTATATCAATCTATTTCTGATTTGAAATGTAAATATGTATAAGAATCTATTTCTGATATAAACTCTGATTTCTTAATCTGTGATGAACATCATTCATAAACCCTTTACCTCGTTGTTATTCACTAGGTTCTAACTCACTGTATTGTTTATGTATGTAGGTGATCAGGAGCGTGACCATGCTTAAAGGCTTCTGCCTGGATTTTGTTTTGTCAGCCAACCTATGTGTCTCCCGTGGGGATTCTAGATATGTCAAGTGGTCATGGCTATACAATTAAAGTTCGAGTTTTTGTCTATTCTGTAATTAGGAGTTAGTCCTTTTTTGTCTTATCTATATAAATGCGATATCGTAAAGGTGATGTATGATATATGTATATAAAGTTTAAATTTTTTCTGTCCCATTTATGTTTCCATTTATGTTTGCACAACTTAATGGACATTGTATATTTGTTATTTGCTTCCACTAGCCCCTAATTATTTGATTTTTGATTTAGAGGCCTTTGGTACTCTACGGATTACTGGCCAGTTACGATACTAAATCTATAGGAGGCTAGTTTGGATCGTGACATAAGCAGACCAAGAATGTTTGCATAATTACGAAAACAACTGTTTCATAATTGACCAAGAATGTTCGTCTATTTAAGAAAAACCTGTTGCATAATTGACCAAGAATGTTTGTGTAATTACGAAAAAATATTCACTCAACATATAAGCCATCATTAGTAAATTATTCAAAATAAAAGGACAAAATCAGAAAGAAAAGACGAACCTCAAGCAACTAAGCGGTTCTTATATATATAGATATATATGGATGGGTAGTTTGGTCATTTTGTACAAGCATGTACTTATGGACATAATAATTTTGCGCTTGGACCTTTGGACAAAAGAAATTTAGATTTAGACTGTTGGACAAAGCATCCGAAAAATTTTGGAGAAATTACTTAAAATAAATCTCAAAGTTTGATCCTCGTAACAAAATAAATATTGAGTTTTTAATTTTGTCAATTTTAGATTGAAAACAAATCAAAAGTTTAGAGTTTAAATTGACAAAATTAAAAACTCAAGGTTTATTTTGTTATACGAGCCAAACTGTAGAGTTTTTCTATAATTTCTCCCCAAAAAAATTGTTGGGCAACTTTTGTTACCTCAAATCATCTAAATTCA